ACTTGGCTCTGATTTTAGAGAAGTTCAGTACAGCTATGAACCCATGGTGCAGCTCAACGTGCTGCTGTTACCTTAAACTCAGCTTGGATGTGATTTGGGGATGGCTGGGATTTAAAGTGATCACCTTTTGTGTTTGCTGGCCCTATATTTTATTCTTGTTGCTTAAAAAAATTACTCTGGGTGATTTTCCTTTGAAGGCTGAAACCTGTACACTCTTCAGCAGTTGGTTCTCCTCGTTTTTGCCAGCAGATACTTGTTTGTGTTGTTACTCATTACTAGTTTAAGTTTAAACTCAATGACATCAAAACAAATTTTTCTCTTGCACCTTCCCTCCAGCTTATCCTGCAAACTTACGGTTCTCCCCTTTAAACAAGCCAAGCTAAAGGCCATCATCACTTCAATAGAGGGAAGAGTCAATGTATGAAGGTATGATAGGTATGACTAATGATTAAAACTGATAAGGTTTTATTGATACCAATGCCATTACTTATTGATCCAGTTCCCTCACTAATTTATTTATGATTTATTACTCCAGTAACCCCCAGTGTTTCCAACATGAACCAGAAGAGGGATGTAGTAAACTCAGCAGGGAAGCAGATTCTGTGTTCCTGCGCATGTCTGATGTGAGTGAAATATTCAGAGGAGGCAGTGGACCATGCTGCTGCTACAACTTCTCACCATGTGAGCCTGGATTCGCTGCAGCCTGCAGAGGGACCTCAGTCTGGAGGAAACAGCAAACACACGGAGCATTGATGACGGTTAATAAGCAGATCTGAATTAACTGGTTCAACGCGATGATGATGGCAGCAGATACCCCGGCTACAAACACACAACCAGTCCCAGCAGGTGAGTGCAGGAAATCAGCTGACAGCCTTATATTGGTGCACAAACCTGCTGGGTCACTTTAGTGTGTCTACTTGTGCCGTCCATAGCTCGTTTATGAGCAGAGACGGTCATTTAAACGTGTTAGAGGAAAAACAAGCTGGCTGCACCTCCCAGGTGAGGCTCGTACCTGTACGCAGACGTTAGGACCGTCAGGGACATGATGATTTTTGACCTGTGCCGCGGGGTCAATAGCAGAACCTCTACAGCCTCGAGTTTCTACGTTTACTTCCTGGAAGCGGGGATGAGCTCCCGCTGATTGGTGGGTGTCGATGACGCCAGAGCGTCTCTCCGCGGTGTGTTTGTGCCACACCGCCACCTGCTGGCGAGTGAAGATGACACACATATTTATTACAGACTCAATGGCCCAGATTAAACACGCGGCATAAAAAACAAAACACAGAGAACATTTTAGTAAAGAAATACAGATGTGCTAGTCTCGCCACAGCTGGAATGGGTAACATGTGGTACTAAAAACTTATATTACGCACCAAATTGATTTTATATGCAGAAGCATTGATCAATAAACCAGAGAAAAGCAAAAAAATTGACTTAAAGCAACTAAAATATATAAAATTAAAGTTTTTTTTAAATTCAGATAATTCATTAATAAGGAAAATGTTCACCCAAACTGACGCATCAATGAGGTCTCTTTATTAATAAAGTCACTTTGTCCAAAAGTGCTGGGTTTGCACAAGTAAGTAAGGATTTCTTGTGAGTAATACCTGCCTCTCCTTTGCTGGAACCCAATAATCTGCCTCTTTGTCTGCTTTTGTGTGCTTTAAACTAGCTAAGTGAATTTTTTCATGTCTGATATCATGTGTTGTAGTTCCAGGGTTTTGTTTCTGGCTCTGGTTTTGATTTTATTACCACTCTAGTTATGTTGAGCTTTCCTGTCTCTAACTCTTTAGCGTCAGTTGCTGTTTGGTTGTTTGCTGTTTTATGCCAAACATTTGGTGTTTTTTGGCATCTAGATTCCTTTTCCCTCCTTCCTCCTCTTGTTATCAGTTGTTTACTGTTTATTTCACTCCCTGTGTCCATGTAGTCTGGCCTACCTGTTGCTCTTCACCAGATCACTGTTGGTTTCCCTGTTTTGAGTCTTTGCATTCCTGCTTCATAGATTTTTTTTGCTTAACACCAAATAAATACTCGTTATTTGTTTGTTTAAACCAACATCTCCGCATTATAACTCATGGCAACATGACCCATCAACAATACACAAGTGAATTTAATAAAATAAAACAAACAAAAGCTAA